TGGTGCTGGAGGCCAAAAGACCTTGTCAAAGTTCTTCTGCTTCTTATCCAGAGCAGCACAGGCAGCATTGGATTTCTCCACATCAATCATTAGGTCCTCCACTTCATTCTGCAGCCTCTGCTTTGTCTTTTCCAGGGAGGCACATTTGGCATTGACAGCCTCAACCTGTTCTTCTGCATCCTGCAGGCGCTGGGCCAGCTTCTTCCTGGGAGATATAAGGTTAGCTTACATTAACACTGAGTATCAGTGCATTGTTCCTTTTTATTATAGTGTGCCTAATCCATTTGCAGTTTGCAGTCACACAGTGCTAAGGGCTACATATACACTCTGCTTAGGCTTTGCTTTTACTATAGTACTAAATATATATTACAGAATTAAGTTTCTAATTTTCTATTGCTCTTCCACAAATCAGATCCGTGACTTATTTCTCATAATATAGTAATGCTTCCCTTGCAATGTCACCTTTGAATTTTCAATCTATTTTTCTGCTTTTTCTATTACCACGTACTTGGCCTCCTCGAGCTCCTCCGTGCGCTGAATTGCGTCCGTCTCGTATTTGGTTCTCCACTGGGCCACTTCACTGTTGGCCTTGGACAGGGCTCGCTGCAGCTCCCCCTTGGCCTCCTGCTCCTCCTCATATTGTTCCCGGAGCAAGTCACAGTCGTGGCGAGCAGACTGCAGGGCGTGGGCCAGGGCGTTCTTTGCCTGTGGGGATAATTGGGTTGGGACAATTAATTTCCCATGAGATAGCAAAATATTAACTTGATGAATGTTATTGAAAATTCCTGGATTATAACATTTAATGTGAGACCAAGAAAAATGGCATATTACTTCCATGTTTTGAGAATCTAGAATGCTTTTTAAGGAGAGATGATGGGTAAATTCTAAATTTCAGCTATACAGCTGCGAATCATTGAATCCTTTTAAATATGTTCTAAAGTTTCAGCTGTCACTGTGAAAAGGTAGATTAAGATGTGCAGTTTCTTTTTAGATATGTCTCAATAATTTTTTATATGTCATCATAAATTGATTAAACACCTAAAATTGTTTATCCCTGTCTCAGTATCCACACTGGGTGGGGGGGGTGGTGTCTTCCTCAGCTTTTCATACCACAGAGGGAGGAGGTAAAATTTCTCACTTTGCTTGATCACTCAAAAGTTAAAATGATACAGCTAACATTCTGATATTATGTGAGAGTAGGAAATATAGAGTAAACAGATTCCCAATCCAAAACAACCCCCTACAGGAAGTAACTTTACCTTTATTTCTTCCTCTAAATGTCTCTTTAGTTCCTCAATCTGTTGAGTGAATGCCTGTTTGCTTCTGGATAACTGAGATATCAAACCATCTTTTTCTTCCACCTGACGTGAATATTCACCTAAAAAAGTTTTCAGACAGATTGCCATTTGGAATCAATATTAAATCAATATTTCTTTTAAGCACAGTATACCAGCTTACAGAGAACAGATCAATTTGAGTAAAGCAGCAATCTTTTTTCTTATTATCACTGGTTACAGTTGTTCCATTTTGAAGGGATAAAGGGGTGTATTACCTGACTCTGTCTGCAGACGAGCTCTTTGAGCATTGAGGTCATTGATCATGCGCTGATGCTCTTCTTCCTTGGTCTTAATCTCGCTCAGCTGATCTTCCAGAGTGCGGCACATCTTCTCCAGGTTTGCCTATACACCAAAGTTATGTAAAACAAGAGGATTACCACTAAGTTCTAGTGTACTGTTTTCAAGGTGAAAAACAATGCAACTGGATGTGATGGCAGAATATAATCAGAATTAAAATCATGTATTAGGAAGTGTATAATAGGGCAGTAACATGACAGAAACTCCATACCTTGGCTTTGGAGACAGACTCCATGTTGCTGGCCAAGTCATCAATCTCCATCTTCAGCTCACTCTTCTCCTTCTCCAGCTTCTGCTTCACGCGTTGCAGGTTGTCGATCTGCTCGCCCAGCTCAGCTGTGCTGTCCGCGTGCTTCTTGCGCAGGGCGGCAGCCGTGGCTTCGTGCTGCAGCGTGGCCTCTTCCAGGTCACGGCGCATCTTCTGGAACTCTGCCTCACGCTTCTTGTTCATCTCCACCTGAGCTGCTGTGGCCCCTCCTGCTTCTTCCAGGCGCTCGCTGATCTCCTCCAGCTCCCTGGACAGGTCAGCGCGATGCTTCTCCGCTTTAGCGCGAGAGGTTCGCTCTGCCTCAATNTTGCGGGCTTCCTGGATGGTATCCTCCATTTCGCCCTGGATCTGGGAAATGTCTGTTTCCAGCTTCTTCTTGGTGTTGATCAGGCTGGTGTTCTGTGCAATGGGAAGAACATGGCAGGAGTTAAATTCTAAAACCTGCCATGAACAAAGACTTTCCCCTTCCAGATTCCAATTCTTACTCTGGAATTATTGTTAAAATGGTTGTTTACAAAATGTCAGGTATGGGCTTCGGGAAAATATGCAAAACATACCTCTGTTTGGGGACATCAGTAGTACAGCCTTTCAGGTACTGCTGGCTCTGTGTTAAATTTCAGCCCTCTGTGTTTGGTCAGTGCCAATGCCAACAGAGCTGTTTGCTCCCTCACCTGGGTGTGGAGGAGCTGCACACGTTCAGCAGCATCCAGAAGCTCCTGCTCAGCCACTTTCCTCGACCGCTCCGTCTGCTCCAGGGCTGCCCGGAGCTCCTCAATTTCAGCCTGCAGCAGGTTTGCTCTGCGCTCCACCATGGCCACCTGCTCCTTCAGGTCATCCTTTGTCCTAAGTGCATCATCCAGATGGATCTGGGTATCCTGGAAAGAAAGAGAAAAGAAATTAGTAGGTGTCAGTTGCTTGAGTGGCATAAATATCAGGGATCTCAGTTTCTATTTCTGTAGATCTGCTGAACGGACCTTGAGCACAGCCTGGGTGTTTCTCAGGTTCTTCTGTGCCTCTGCAGCCTGGCGGTTGGTATGGCTCAGCTGGATCTCCATTTCATTCAGGTCTCCCTCCATCTTCTTCTTCAGCCTCAGGGCTTCATTCCTGCTCCTGATCTCAGCATCCAAACTGCTCTGCAAGGACTCCACAACTCGCAAGTGGTTTCTCTTCAGCTGGTCAATCTCCTCATCTTTCTCTGCTATCTTCCTGTCAATCTCTGCCTTCACCTGGTTGAGTTCAAGCTGCAGGCGCAGGATCTTCCCCTCCTCATGTTCCAGGGAGGCCTAGAAAAGTAGACACAAACATTGATAGCATTGATAAACCTATTGTTTGTTTTTTAGAGAATGATAGGATATTTCCAGAGATCTTAGCTGTCTTCACTCTCCAGCCAGAAGAGAAGACAACCAAGGCCTGGTCAGCCATGTTTTCTCATTTCTTTAGTGCAGACACCAGTGATTATGGTTATATACCTCAGCTTCCTCCAGAGCAGCCTGGATTTCAGATTTCTCCTGCTCAATCTGCTTCTTCACTTTCTCCAGCTCATGAATGGCCTTTCCTCCCTCCGCAATCTGCTCCGTGAGGTCGGAAATCTCCTCTGTGGGCACAAAGATCAATGGCATGGTCAGGCACAGAGCAGAATGGGAAGGGCCCTGTCCCACCAAGGGGACAGGCATCTCTGCAGACCTGCAGGCACAGAGC